TTTAACAAGCTAGGTAGGTAATCGAGCAATATAAAGGAAGAAAAATTGCACAAACATATTTATCACAAACAGTAATTCTTTCTTTGGATGTATCTACAAACAAATACATCAATGTTTCACACATGATAATGAACAATAATCAATTCTACACACAATACATTTAAGCGATATATTATGCTCCAAATTGATAATTTACAAATGCGACACAAAATTAAAATATAATAGCAGATAATTTCAGCTTCAAAAACACCCAAGAAGTTTCTTCGGAGCAGTTCCTGTGGCACGATACTTTGCTGCCATTTCTTCTGCCTTGAGAAGATCTTCCCCGCGTTTGGCTTCAATAATCGCTCTCTTTTCTTCGGCTGCTTTGTGAACCAGAGCAACCTTGTTTTTCATTTTCTCCACGTATTCTGCTTTCTTTTTCTCAAGTTCCTCCTAAAATGCCATTACATATTTCAAGTTAATATACTTCATAGGAGCAAATCAGGCTCGACTAACCAATACTCAACCGTTTAGGAACTGTACAAAACTTCCAATAAACACGAGAATAAAGTAAATTTCCATCATTCACTTTAAAGGAAAAAGGAAAAAGATTGACATTTTCGTCGTTAGAATTCACAGCAGAAGAAAATCCTAAGGGGAATGACTTATTACCTCAATCTTTTTAAGCTCAGCCTCTAGACTTGCTTTCTTGCTGTTCTCCCAAGCCTCAATGGAAGATAGCTTTTTCTGAGCTCTGGAAATAATTTCAGCATACATTTAATAAACTGCAAACCGAACATACTCTTGTGGCATGCATACATAGATTATGTAGCCATTATATGCTCATCCAGCAAGAAGCAAAGATATGTAACAGATTACAATCTTGACGTTATTCAACAACAGTGAACAAACTAAGCCTTATTTCTGAGTAAATTTGGGGTTGGCTCACAAATTTGGGCATTGTGAAATTAAAGGCACCAAGTCTGAGGAATAAAATCGAAAAGTAAGTCATTTTCAAGTCTTAGCACCAGAAAAATTTGGGTTCTTTTAGCCTGAAGTGAGTCTTTAGCTCATTTACCGAAACATTCCTTAGTCTTCTTTCCTTGGTTGCATAACATAACCATACAGCATTGTTCACAAGTCACAACATTTGGTGCAAAGATTTGGAAAACTACTAGCAAATTTCATAGATAAAAGAAAGAACGGAGGACACTCAAGAATTGAAGGGCATACTTGTTTTCAGCTTTTGATTTCTCACTTTCTTCCCATGCTTTGATTAACGACAACCTTTTCTCAGTTGCTACACGAGCAAGCACTGCATCTGAAGATCATATATGTATATATGGATAAATTTAAGTATTTTCCTGATCATTTACTTGTGAAATTTCTAGAAATTGGAAAAAATAATTTGCAATAGTGGTTACCTCTATCGATAGAGCCCCCGGATTTTTTCTCCACAGCGGGTTCTGGTTCTTATGCCATAAACAAAAAGGCTCCAACAATTAGAAAAAAATAAATGATACTAAATTAATTGCTAAATAACTGGACTTCATATCACATAACTATAGATTAATTGAGGTGGTTCAATATTATACCACAACAATAACGTATTAAAGCTTCATTGTGATCCATTTATGAAAATTGTGTACGTGTTAGGCCTTTCATTGAGTATGAATTTGGGATGGGTTAAAAATTAAGTAGATTGTTTAGCTTGATTAAAAGATAATAATATAGTTACTTTTCGTATCTCCAAACCTGTTAAAATAAATCATTTTTCTTACTTCAAGAAAAGCTACTTTCTTCTAAGGTAATTCTTGCCTTGCTATTTCCATTAACAAAAGCTTACTTTACTTGCAAATATGTATATTTACTGATAAATAAACTCATGAAGCTTAGCCAAACATCTTCATGTTCTCTCTTTTAATAGTTTAAGATTTTTAACCACGTGGTTCAACCATCATATGAAAAATTTACAGTAAAAGCTATGGAAAATCAATCAGGAACTTTATTTTCAAGATCAGATACCAAAAGTTGCATAAAAAGAGGGAGAAATTTTGGCTCTCTTCCTGGGCCAGCCTATTCTTTATTATGTGTATCCCTTTTGGGTGACAAACAAATAACACAAGTGGATTTCCTAGAGAAAATTCTGATTAGCACAAAGCCGTGTTAAAATAAGAAACTCCAGTAAGAAACAAAATTTGGAGCAGACAAATAAGAAGGGTGAATTTACTTAGAATAGTTCTAGACTTTAAAACCAAGATCAGCAATTGAAAGCACCAAAAATAATTAATTCAAGAGAAATTTACCACAAAGTTTATATTTTTTTCAATCTATATATAAGTGGGATTTGGATATAAGATGGCTTTTTATTTACCTATGCTTATTCGATCCAATTAAAATTCAAATGAAAAGTCATATTCAATAGTTTTCAAACAAGTCACTCAAACGAATCACCATCTTAAGATGGGAGACAAAATGTTAATACTAAAATTCTACCTGAGACAATCGATTTAACCTTTTAAAATTGTATCCACAACTCCGTTAATATTATATAGATCCCTAAAAACAATCTCATACACATAAATTCAATATACATACACACACGCACGGAAGGGGAGAAGGTTACTTTCAACTATGGCAAGAGCTTTGGTATCATCTGGTTTCTCTTCACATGGAGGAAGGGGTGGCGGAGTTACGGCTTTTCCCTCGGCCACATCCTTCGGAGGTTCGGCCGCCGGAGCTGGTGGAGGCTCTGAACACTCCTCAGGCCCCACTTTCTTGGCTTCCTCCTCCGCCATCACTTCAGAAAACTTAGCTATATCTTTTCTTAATTAAATTAGCAGATACAAATGTTATGCTGATGCAAAAGATCTGAAGAAAATTTTTGATGGGTATCAAAAGTAGCAGATTATATGGAAGAAACTGCGTGTTTTGTGCGTGTGAAGAATGGTGGTGTGGTGGGGTGAGGTAGAAGATTTTAGTAGTTGAAGGAAGGTAACTGTCACCTTGAAATTGAACAGTCCTTAGCTGGATGATCTGTACTAGATAATATGCCGGTCCCTCGAGAGCTGGTACATACGCCCACTATTTTATTTTATTTTTTATTATAATAAATACGGATGAAAAATAATTGAATTTGCAATTGCCTACCCGAAGAAAAGATACAACTTTTACCTTTTTCAGTTTGAGAAGTTCTATTTTTCCATTTCTAACTATATTTAGTTGCGACTTTAAGCATACTTTCAAGTGTAAACACAAGTACGTAAAATAAATCGATCTTGTAATTTATGACGAGTCATGTCAAAACTGGGTTAGTACCATAGTAAAATTACAAAGAATTTGAATTTCACTCTATGTGCCCCCAATATTTGTGTTATTATTTATTTAAATTTAGTTAATAAAGTCTAGGGATCCCTAAATACAATAGATTAGATATGTACCACAACAATTAAATTCACGAATAATGACCACACACTTGCGCCATCCCTATGGGCTAAATCTTAATGATATTGACTTATTATAATGCTATATAAAATTAAAATTATATGTCAAGCTCAAATATACTTTCTTTATAGCCTCTAGAAATTTATGTGGAGGTGTGATTGAAAGATTTTGATCAACTAGCAATACATTAAATGGGGACACCAATAAAAATTCATAATAAGTTATTATAAATAGGAAAATTTTTGCTATTGGTGCTCAATCTATTATTTGAGTGGTAAGTTGATCCACAATCTTCAAAAGTGAACAAGTTGGTTCTCAATTTTTATTATAGTATCAAAATCAGTCCTAAAGAAGGAGAATCGTTCAAATTTTCGTTGTTCGTCATGTAATATTCATGCGTCCAATTTTAATAAAGCTAATTTTTGTTTCTCAACTTGAGTTACGTTCAAAAATTTGAAGTAACTTCTACAGTAATAAGAGGATTGCACGATGATCTACAAAAATTGGATGATTTTTGCCTCTAGAATCTAAAAGCTCGTTGTTTGGCAAACATTTTTCCAAGTGAAAATGATAAGCATTTAGAATGTGTGATCAAAAAGTAATAGAAGTCATGAGCCTCATAAAATGTTCAGTTGGGAATGATTTTATGAAAATTAATTTAATTTTTTTTTTCAAAGTTGTGCAACGTACTGAAAAGTTGAATCAAGATAAAAGTGACAACATTGCAGTTCTTTTTCTAAATTTATTAAAAATAGAACATAATGATTTGTTTTCAACGTAAGAAGGTTCTAAGGTAATCCTTTGTGTATACAATGATCACTTTAAAAACCCCAAATGCCATCAAATATGAGTTGTTATACTGGACGTTGACAACTCGTGTTTGCAACCACAATCCACAAAATAACAATAAATTGGATCCCTATGCTTTGGCCCACTTAATATTAGGTTTAGACCTGCAATTGGCAATTGAGAGCATGTGGTCGGTCACATTTGAAATACCCATATTACTACAATCACTAGAAACTTCCCCTATTTCTCAATTTATTTAAAATAAAAAACATTCTTAATACAAGGAAAAACTTTACAGAAGCAACTTCAACAAATTTTCCATTTCGTCTGTTGAGTTTTGTCATAAGAAAATTCATCCAATGACCTCATCTTTGCACAATGTAACAATTCTAACTCTTTTCATAACAATCAGAGGCAATCTTTCAAATCTATTGCGAGTTGATATTGGGTGAATGGGTACGATATATTTAATCGTTAAAAAGTTAAAATTATATTAAAAAGGTGATCGTACTCTTTAGACAGAACAAACAAATATATAAAAACCAAAACATTAACTCATTATGTTATTATAAAGGTAAGACAACTTGAGAACTGTTTTTCCTTTACATAATTATAATTTACAAATACTCATCATTCGTCCATTGCTTCAAAGAACATTAAAAGCAATTGTAAAGTTTAATTATGCGCCATGTCCTTTTACGTCACCTTACATATATACATAAATTATTTCTAAAACTTATGTCCTTCAAAGAACATTAAAACGCAATTCCAACAGTATCTTTGTTTACATAAGTAAAAGATTACCTTTTTTCAAAAAAAAAAAAAAAAATAAAAAAAAATTCCTCTGCCTAATTCTTTAAGTAACTTTTTTTTAACTTTCATCTATAAATCCTTTTCATTTTTAAACTTACCTTTTAACTTATAAGTAACTTCGTTTAAAAATGAACTAGCCAAAATGAGAATAGAACACGCAAAAACCTAACAATCAATTAAGTAAAGAGACATTTCAAAGCACAAAAATACATTACATACTTCGTGGTTCTAGTTTATTCATAAAATGGAACAAAGCAAAGTAAAATCGATGAGAGTTTCAAGTACGAAAATTAGAAAAGACAGCAACCAAAGCATAGTGGCATTCGATGCGAGTTTCAAGTACTAAAATTACAATAGACAGCAATCAAAGCATAGTGGCATACCCCCGAGTAAAAGCAGATAGTTGCAAATTTATGATGAATAATGCAATCCCAGCATCCATGTATTCTTAAACAGACAACTCGGTTTTGGAAATCAGAAGACCATCGGTATCTGCATAGAGCCATTCTCCGTCACATATTCTAGTGCCAGCTATAGTAATCGGAACGTGCTTTTCTCCGATCCCCCTCTTATTTGCTTTCATTGGATGTGAAGCCAGAGCTCTCACCCCAATGTCACAACCATTTATTTCGTCTACGTCCCTTATACAGCCGTTGACTACAATACCTGCCCATCCATTGTTCTGAGCTTGCACCACAGGATTGCCTCCCAATATTGCACACCTCAAACTACCACCCCCATCAACAACCAGAACTCTTCCATTACCTTTCTCCTCAAGAAAATCACGAACCAAAACATTGTCTTCAAAAACTTTCAGAGTAACGACTGGTCCGGAAAAGACTGGGCGCCTTCCATATATCTGGAAAACTGGCTGGAGGGCACGGAGCTCGCCACTCACAATAAGCTGTGGATTTGAATCACAAACTTCAGCAGTTGTGACAAAGGCCATCCTAGATTCAGAATGTTCAGAGAAATAAGCGTCATAAGAGATTCAAACATCATAGTTTAGCTAGCATGTAATATTTGATGACCAGAAAGATAATATAAACAAGCTGTCAATGAAACATTTTTGCTTAAGGTATGGTGTTAAAAATTATGAGATGGGATGAATTTACATGTTGGGCTGGCTAAGGAAGCGCAGACTAAAAATTAGCAAGGATCAAATATTAGTAAAAGAATTATGTAATTTTCATGATACTTCCACCTTTCCATTAACTTTTAATTGAATAAATATTTTTCAAAGTAACTTCAACTGGATTATCTAATATTATTTCTTAGATCATGTCCACTACTTCACCAAAATAGAGTAAAAGAAGTGCATTTGTAAAACGATATTCTGGAGTGCTTCATTATGAGGTCCATCTTTGCTCTGACTAACTTGAAACTTGGCAAGCAACATTCGCTGAACTTACTATCCCATGGCAAAATTCCTGAAACACCTAGTACTTAGATTCTATGGATAACACCCAGGTAATAGAATTCTTATTTATCCATCCACAAGAAGTTGATAGGTGGTACATTTAAACAAAAAAGATAACCAACTTATTTTTTATTATTGAGTAACCATGGTGTACAAATGGTATTCCTGCCAATTTAGTAAACACGATCGATACTGGCATGAAAAACTTATTTTTTACACAATCAGGTGTTGTCATTATGTCAAGTGACAATAACATGAATATAAATTCATATAGAATCAATTAAAGTTTAACACAGAAAAGTGTGCCATTTATCTAACTAGACAATAGCAACACTGTTGAATCTTTCATACAAACCGACAAAAGATGGAGTAGCCACTGCCAGCTGGCCCAAGATGTTTGTATGCAGCATAAAGTAGTACCGAAATCTGAGTACTAATATACCACTCAAATAAATCCCACCTACGTGATTTTGTAAAGGTATGACATCAGATTTGTAAACATGTTTCCACTGGATTGGATATATAGACAACAATTTGCATCATATGCTCAATTAATTCATTTAGAAAATTGTATAGTCACTTGGGAGTCTAATTGACAACCAATAAAAGAAGTGTAAAAATAAATCACAATTGGCTAATAATATCTTAAATATTGTACTTCATATAATGCAATAACATATAAATACTCATGCATAATGGTAGAAGTAATAGTCCCAACTATGGAAATAGATCGATGGAGCCAGCAAGCAGTAATAATCTGCTTATTTTCCCTTTGCATCTACATGTCATCTCTGTAAATAGGGTGTAAATTTACAGAAACTTGTAGGACTAAAATTTAGCCACCTTCACAAACAAATTTATCAAGTTAAAATCCTCAAGAGGTGGCTCCATCATAACTTGTAAAAATAAATTAGAGAGAACTCATTCTTCAGTAATGCAAACATAAGCAATAGCTGAAGTAACACTGTAATATGTTTGATAAAAAAAAAAAGTTCAGTAAACAGCAAGGAAGTGAAAATCCAGTAAGCAAATACAGCAAGGATTATACATAGAACATTGGCCAATCACCAAGACTTCGTAATTTTCACTTGACAAGAGATGAACTACAAAAAAGAAAGCAAAATTCATTAGAATTATTTACACTTGAAAATAGTATCAGCTTCATTCTGGAAATAAATCAATGCTTAATGAGTAGATGGTGGAGGAAAAGCAATTGAAATTCATTTACCCTCCATTAGGGAAGAATTTATTAACAATATAATTTAATTTATAAATAGATAGAAATGAGTAGTAACTAAATGGGTAGTACTTGTGGGTCTAGTGGAATGTGTGATTGAAAATGAATTTTGACCATTTATAAATGATTTATAAATTCTACAAAAGGAGGCTTAATTGTATGGTCGGGTAAAAAGATAATTTTCCATCGCAATAAGTATAGAACAAAAATAATTGGCTACGACTAGACAATTTAGTACTCCTACCATTACTGGTAGACACAGATCTAAGCAATAGCGACAAGGCACGACATTGCCATTCTTTATGTTATACATGGCAGAGGAGCTTGGAAGTTGGAACACTTTTCTACTAAGGCTTACAAAAATAAACAACAAAAAACCAGAAAAAATGGTGATGTGATTATGGTAGCATGAGAAAAGCAGATCTCTATGGCCAAAACTTCAAAATTCTTCCACAGAAGA